TGGGATTACAGGCACGCGCCACCATGCCCAGCTAATGTTTTGTATTTTTAGTAGAGACGGGGTTTCACCATGTTGACCAGGATGGTCTCGATCTCTTGACCTCGTGATCCACCCTTGGCAGGCTACTTCTAAGGATATCTATAGGAGAATGCTCTGAGTCAGCACAGCGGCAAAAGAGCTGACAGGTTATACAGCCACCTGCTGGCAGCTCCCAGTGATTTCTATAGGAGGATGCTTTGAGTCAGTACAGGAGTAACAGAGCTGTCAGGGTATACGGCCACCTAGGCACGATATACCGGAGGGGTTTTAAGCCCTAGGACGCTCTCGAGCTTGCCAACCTGAGGCTGGCTTCCCACAAGAACTGGATGCAAGGTACTGCAACTCCCGTACAGGAGGAGTGACTCTTGCTCCAAACCTGCTATACAGCAGGTGTCTTTACAATACTGAAAGCTGGCGCCTGGGCCAGCCTGCCATGTAGTCTGTGCCCTTTCAGGCAGGGGCACTACCATCTGGGCCATAGATTCTTGTCCTGGTATAACTGTTTTTCCCTGAAATCATGCTCTGCACCGTGTCTGCTCTAGACATTCCTCCGGCTAGAAGCAAGATATGATTTTATATGTATATATATATATACATATATATATATATGGCTGCTTATTCCTTAATTCATGCTCTGTACTGTGTCTGCTCTAGACATTCCTCTATGAACTAAGATTATATGTGTGTATATATATAAGGAAATAGCTGAGTAATAAGATATTCTTCAGGCACTAATTGTTCCGACTATAAACTAATACATGATTATATATAAAGGAAATAACTGAGTATATAAACTATAAACACTATAAACTAAGATATTCTTCAGGCACTAATTGTGCCAGGGATCTGCTTAGCTCTACTGCCTCCGTGCGCAGATGAGGGGTTGCACACAAGGCATGAGCCACCGCAGCCTGCTGAGGAATCTTTAAAGCAATAGTAATATGGAGACAGGGAAATGAATGATGCCTCGCTTTGGCCTTTGACCATAAGCCCTAACTCTGGATATCTGGCCCCACCACAAATATAATCGTGGCCTTGACGTCAGTCCCCTGACCCCCGGACCCCTTATCTCAGCCTGACTGTACTCTGCCCTTAGCCTCTAGCCCTAGTCGACTCCGGAACCGTGGCCTTGGCCACGATCCCCCTGACTTCGGACTTCAGACCAGATACTGCCCATATTCCCTCGTGAGGTCTTCGCCAAGCAACCCCTACGTTGTACCTTTTCCCTCGAATGCGTAAAGAGGCAGTGCTAACCTGCAGACGGACTTGCGACTCAGCCAATGGTTTAAGCCGCTCTGGAGTGGCGCCCAATAAGCTCTCAAGACAGGAGGCCGATTCTAGAAGAAAGCCAATAGCCTGTGAAGGCGAGTCTTGCAGCAACCAATAGCCATGAGTGAGAGGCGGGACTCTGAGGGAAGCCAATCGCTGGAGGGGGCTGACACAGCTACAGCCAATGGCTTTTGGCGGGGGCGTTCCCCGACCCCGGCCGCTTCCATGACCCGGCTACTGGGCCATGGCCGGGACTGGGCTATGGCCGGGACTGGGCTGCTGGCGCTGCGGACGCTGCCCGGGCCCAGCTGGGTACGAGGCTCGAGCCCGTTGGTGCTTAGCCGCCTGCGGGACGCGGCCGTAGTGCGGCCTGGGTTCCTGAGCGTGGCGGAGGAGGAGACGCTGAGCCGAGAGCTGGAGCCCGAGCTGCGCCGCCGCCGCTACGAATACGATCACTGGGACGCGGTGAGACCAGCGGCGCGGGGGTAGGGGGCGCGGCCTCGCGACGCCGAGCACCGGATGGGGCGAGAACACGCTGGGGGCAGTCTCTAGGGCGGGGATTTGGGGCGGGGACAGAGACGAGCGGCGGGGCGGAGCCATGTTGGGGGCGGGGACAGGGGAAGACCAGTGCAAGGATGGGCCGGGGCCACGCTGGGGCGGGCACAAAGGAGACCGGTGCAGGATGGGACGGGGCCACCCTAGGGGCGGGGCCAGAGGAGTCCAGCGTGTATGGGCGGGGGCGGGGTCACGCCGGGGAGGGGCCACGTGTGGGTTGGGATAGGGAAGACGTGCTGGATGGGGCAGGGCCTTGCTAGGGGCGGTACCTAGCGCGAGGATTTGGAAGCCGGGCTATGGTGGAGGCGGGGCTGAAACTCCGGTAGTGGGAGGGGCGGGACTTGGGGGACGAGGACATTGGTCAGGGAGCGCACTTTTGTGATGAGGCCAGGGCCATAACTGGAGGCAGGATCTGGAACTGAGGGGTGTTTGGGACCAAGGTTAGGGGTAGAAACGGCTGTGGAATTAGAGGACGTTGAGGGACACAGGACACTTGGGTGGAGTCCAGTTGTAGGGAGACTCAGCCAATTGAATATTGGGGCCGGGCCAGCACTGGGGACTTGGAATTGTAGCCTCAGGGTGATTAAGGACTGAGGTCACACCTAGGTAGGGCCATGGTTGGGGGGATAGCGGGGTTTGAGTTGAGGGCAGCAGGATCAAGAGTCGCACTAGGAAAACCAGCCCCTTGCCCTGTTTTCTGCGCCTCCATGCCTCAGTGTCCCTGTTCCCTCTGGGAGCCTCCAAGCTTGACCAAGCTGTTTGTGTAGGCTATCCACGGCTTCCGAGAGACAGAGAAGTCGCGCTGGTCAGAAGCCAGCCGGGCCATCCTGCAGCGTGTGCAGGCGGCCGCCTTTGGCCCCGGACAGACCCTGCTCTCCTCCGTGCACGTGCTGGATCTGGAAGCTCGGGGCTACATCAAGCCCCACGTGGACAGCGTCAAGGTGGGTAGAGGCCGGCGCCTTGGCCCTTCCAGCGGGGGGGGGGGGGGCAGCCCAGGTCGGAGCCTGACCCATCCCTTCGTCCCTTTTGCAGTTCTGCGGGGCCACCATCGCTGGTCTCTCTCTCCTGTCTCCCAGCGTTATGCGACTGGTGCACACCCAGGAGCCCGGAGAGTGGCTGGAACTCTTACTGGAGCCAGGCTCCCTCTACATCCTTAGGTACCTCCATCCAGGCAGCCCCCACCCATCCAGGAATGTGTGACACCAACCCAGTGCCCTGGGTACCTTCCCTCAATCCACCCCTCCCCAAAGACTCAGCCTCTACCCCAGGGCTTGTGTGAGAGGCAGTGGGGGGCTGGAACCTGGGTCTGCCTGGATAGGGGGCTGTCCTCCCTGCACCCAGTTACAGCCTGTTTTTTTCTGCAGGGGTTCAGCCCGTTATGACTTCTCCCATGAGATCCTTCGGGACGAAGAATCCTTCTTTGGGGAGCGCCGGATTCCCCGGGGCCGACGAATCTCTGTGATCTGCCGCTCCCTCCCTGAGGGCATGGGGACAGGGGAATCTGGACAGTCACCCCCAGCCTGCTGACCCCTAGCTTTCTAGACACCGGATTTGTGAATAAAGCTGGGAATGGACAACCCAACATTGCACTGGCTGCTTACTGGAGCCAGGATCTGCAGGGGAACCCAGGATGGCACTGGCCCACAGGGAGCTCAGGTGCAGCTGGCTGGATACAGTCAAGGTCACGAGGCCAGGAGAGTGGTGTCCTTTATTGCACTCAATGCTGATCGCCCCAGCCCACTCCCGTCCTTGTCTCTGCATCCAGGTCTCCAATAAAGAACTCAGCCAAGCTTCCCCAGTACTGCAGCTCCTGGGTACCAGACTGTGCACCCTCAGCCGACACAGCTGCAGGCAGCCGCCGAGAGCTGGGGCAGCCGCTGCCAGCGGTGGCGGTCGTCAAGGAAGGCCACATCATCGTAGCGGGTGGGCTGGCAGCAGGGCCCGCCATGGGCTTTCCCCTGGCCTTGCAGCCGGGCCAGTGCCAGGCCGTGCTGGGTACGGGCACCCCGGGGGCAGCTGCCGGCGCAGTAGCGGAAGATGACCTTCTCCTCCGAGGCATAGCCCAGGCCCAGCTCTGCCACCGACAGAGTCAGGCTCCACAGCTGGCACGGACCGGATGGTGCTCTGCGCAGGCGGGTGAGGGGGCGGTGAGTGGCTGCCGGAGAGAAGGGTGCTGACAGTGAGCAGGATCAGGGCTGGGGTAAGTTGGGAAGTCACAGAGGGTCCCTGGGAGTCCTTACCCAGCCAGGTTCTTCCAGCCTCTGCCACCTGCTCAGACGAGAACTCTCCATTGGCCACAGGAGCCCCATGGGCATCAGGATCCCAGCCCTGTCCCAGATGCAGGGACAGGAGCAGCACAGAGCCCAGAAGGACCTTCCCTACGGCCATTGTGACAGGCAGGTCCTGAGGGTGGGAGGTGCGCCCCGAATTTATGCCCTGCTGGGGCTGGGAGCTAACTGCTTCACTGCCGGCCCCTGCGGCCAGAGGGCCCCACGTCTGCACCAGCTTATCTCCTACGCCCTGGAATCCAGGCATCCACTCCTGCCCCACACCCCACCCTTCTAAGAATTAAAGGCTCACCCCCAGCCCACCCTACCCCGACATTCCACACACCCATTTCCGACACCCCAGACACCCCCTGATTTATGAGTGCCATACTGGCAGCCAGGGCGGGCAACTCGTGTTCACCCCGGCCTGCTGCCTGGAGCGGGAGTCAGGGGCTTCATCGGTCCCCCAGTGGGGTCCCTCTCTACTAAGTCAGGGTGCTGGGATTCAGGAGCCCTCACGTGTGTCCTGTGCCAGGTGGGACGGATGTGAGTGCTGGGAAGGGTGGTTTGGCAGGGACCGAGTCCACGGGAACTCTCCTTGGTGGCTCCTGCCTGGAGGATTAAGACATCATGCCCCTGTCTCCGGGCCTGGCTGAGCCAACGTCAAAACAGGAAAAGGGAGAGGCCTAGGGAAAGCCAAGGGTGGGGACACAAGGGGGCAGGGACACCTGTCTCCGGAAGGCCAACCTGAGACCCCTATAACTGCAGCCCCTTCCTGGGATGTGAGCATGTCAGGGCCCACAGGGTGATGGGAAGCCATCCAAGTCATGGTAACCTCTAGCACGATGCTGACAGTGAGATGCGGGCTCTGGAGGCGTCTGCACTCAGCCCTGTGAGCCCAGTCCCCTCACTGGTACAGGGGAGCTCATCAGAACCCCTCCCACTTGGCTTGGTGAGGAGGGATGGGTGCTTAGTGTTTAAGGCGGTTCCCCTAGCTTTGAATGCAAAAACAAGCAAACAGCTTGTGACTGTCGAAAGGGGTGCTTGACCCTAAGCACCCACAAGATGGGGGAAATCAGAAAACGCTCACACAGGTGTGTGACCCATGTGTGCCCTGTGCTGTTGGTGTGGGTGTAAATTGCTAACAGCTCTTTGGCTGAGCAGCTGCTCAAGAGCACAGGGGATCCGATGCTTTCATGTTAGGAAAGACTGGAAGTGACCTCAGCTCCATCCATGGGGGGGCTCCCTCGATGACTATGTTGCGGTTTCTTTTTTTTTTTTTTTGGAGTTGGAATTTCACTCTTGTTGCCCAGGCTGGAGTGCAGTGGCACGATCTCGGCTCACCAAAACCTCTACCTGCTGGGTTCGAGCAATTCTCCTGCCTCAGCCTCCTGAGTAGCTGGGATTACAGGCATGTGTCACTATGCCTGGCTAGTTTTGTATTTTTAATACAGACGGGGTTTATCCATGTTGGTCATGCTGGTCTCGAACTCCTGACCTCAGGTGATCCGCCTGCCTCAGCCTCCCAAAGTGCTGGTATTACAGGTGTGAGCCACCTCGCCCAGCCATATTGTGGTTTTTCTTACTGAGATAAGTTTCAGATGGAGAAAAAAGCCTGCGAACAGTGGCTCACACCCATAATCCCGGCGCTCTGGGAGGCCGAGGCGGGCAGATCACCTGAGGTCAGGAGTTTAAGACTAGCCTGACAAACACGGATGTGGGTAACACCCCCCAGGGGCACCAAGGAGGAGAACCATCCAGACCCCAGGCACAATTAGGGCCTGAGGAATATCTTAGTTTATAGTGTTATTACTCAGCTATTTCCTTCATATAAATCCTTCATATATAATCATATATTAGTTTATAGAATTAGTGCCTGAAGTATAACTTACTGTTTACATATATCAAGCTTATACAATCATACTTAATACTTACATCTAGCATACTTAGTTCTATATAGTCTTTCAATATAATCACATAGGTATTGTAGTCGGAGCTGTACTGACACATTTAGTGCTGATTTGTAGAATCCTTCCATATAACCATATAGTAGTTTGTAGTAGGAGGGATGCCTAGAGCAGTCACAGAACAGAAGCAGTACATGGGAAAACAGGCAGACCAGGACAAGAACCAAAGACCCAGGCGGTGGCGTCCCTGCCTGAAAGGGCATACGCTGTATGGCAGGCTTGGAGCAAGAGCCTCTCCTCCTGATAAAGGAGTTGTAGCACCTTGCATCCAGTTCCTGTGGAAAGTGGGCCTCAGGCCTGAGATCCTGGAAGTAACCTAGGAAGAAGTACCCCTCTGTGTGACCAGTCACGGCGGCTGTACACCCTGTCAGTCTTTTTTCACTTCTGTGCTAGCTCAAATCATCCTCCCATAAATATCTTAAGAGAACACAGGTCTGTCAGCTCCCACTGCACTGGCTTACAGTATCCTTCTATTAGAAATCCTTTGAAGTCTCCAGCCCCCAGGTAAGAAGTGTTGTGCATGACACCTGTTGCACACAGCCCCTCCTTGCTTCAGTGACCTAATAGGGGTGGACCTCTTTTCTGTACAGGACCTTCTACTACTGCACACGGCACGGCCCCCTACTGTGCAAGGCCCACCTCTCTGCCCAGGTGACATAATGGGGTGGTCCCCTCGCTTGGGACTCAGGTGATTATATATGCCTTATTACTAAGCCTATAGATGATGACCTCACTTACGATCCTTCCCCCTGCTTGTACCTAATAAATACAGATGCTCTGGGGCATTTTGGGGCTGTCACTGATCTCTGCTCACAGGTGGCATGGCCCCCCGAGTCCAGATGCTCTTCACCAGTTCTTCAGTGTCCTGTCTCTTCTCTTTCCTGCACCTTAACACAGCATAAGGGACACCGCACGACCCTTTGGGGCCCCAGTAGCCCTACACATGGAGAAACCCCGTCTCTACTAAAAATACAAAATTAGCCAGGCGTGGTAGCACATGCCTGTAGTCACAGCTACTCCCGGAGGCTGAGGCAGGAGAATCGCTTCAACTCGGGAGGCAGAGATCGCAGTGAGTTAAGATCGCACCATGCACTCCAGCCTCGGCAACAACAAACTGTCTCAAAAAAATATAAACACAAAATCCAAAAATTAGCTGGGCGTGGTGATAGGTGCCTCTCATACCAGTTACTCAGAAGCCTGAGGTGGGAGAATTGCTTTAACTTGGGAGGCAGAGGCTGCAGTGAGCTGAGATGGCACCACTGCACTCAGCCCTGGGTGACAGAGCAAGCCTCCATCTCAAAAAAAAAAAAAAAAAAAAAAAAAAAAAAACAAATAAAAAAAAAAAAAAAAAAAAAAAAAAAAAAATTAAGCAATGGACCTGGCATTTGAACCCAGGTCCACCTGAATGCAAAGCCCCTGCTCTAACCATGGGGCCACACGGCCCAGCCTCCTTGGACAAAGGTCCAAGCAGTGGGGATGGCTGGGGTGAAACCGCCAGGGCAGGGGCTCCCTCCAGAGCTGCCTCCCTGCTGCCCAAGAAGGCCTGGCGGAAGAATGGGGAGAGGCTGGCCTGAACTGGGACATTCCGAGGAATTAGCCTGACATCTCAGACATTCCTGCTTAGTAGCCAAGGGCCGCAGAACTGGGTGGGGAAGCTTTCCATCTGCAGTTTCCAAACACTGGCAAGATGGAAGGAAGGGGTCGCCCAGAAGATGAGTTCAAAAGTGGGTGCAGCCAAATTCTAATTCCAGCCACACTGCTGTCCAGGAACTGGAAAAGCCCGCCCTTCCAGAACCTGGCAACGCCAGATCACATAAATGATGACCAAGCTTGGAGGAAGGGAAAGAAGGCCCCGAAACATCACAGGGAACCTGAAACATAGGGTCCCGCAATCGGGGGTTTGGCTTTGGTGGCCACGTAGGGACAGAGCCTGCAAGCCGAGAACCACACACAAAATGGGCTGGGGCTGGCCCTCCTGGGTGGCTGGCGCAAGCCAAGGTGGAACCATCTGGAAGGACTGCCTGCAAAGTAGGCCACCCTGGATTCCCACAGAGCCCCCAGCTGGCCATGAGCATCCAACTCCAAATCACAAGAAAATCTATCATCAAGGGGAGTCAGAAGAAACACAAGGAGGCCCACGAACTTCAGCTTCTAGATACGTCAGACCACAAAGTAAGGATGCCTAAAATGAAAACATTAGCCGGCGAAATGGTACACACCTGTGGTCCCAGCTACTCACCAGCCTGAGGCGGGAGGAATGCTTGACCCATGAGTTCAAGACTGGCCTGGGCAATACAGTGAGACCTCATCTCTACAAGAAACTTTTTTTAATTAGCTGGGCATGGTGGTGCACACTACTTTAAAGGCTAAGGCGGGAGGATGGCTTGAGCCAGGGAGGCAGAGGTTGCAGGGAGCAAGCAGTCCAGCCTGGGCAACAGAGCAAGACCCTGTCTCAAAAACTAAAAAATAAAAACATGAAAGACAAAACCAAAACCTAAGGAACAAGACATTATCCAAATGTCTGTTAGAATACCAGATCTAAAAAGGAAACAAAGAAATCTAAGCAGTTTATTTACTTTTTAGAGACAGAGTCTCACTCTTGTCACCCAGGCTGGAGTGCAGTGGTGTGATTTCAGCTCATGGCAACCTCTGCCTCCCAGGTTCACAAGAAGCAATTCTTGTGCTGAGAAGGCTGAGGCCTCCAGATAGCTGGGACCACAGGCACCCACCACCATGCCTGGCTGCTCTTTCTATGTGTGTGCCAGGGTCTTGCTCTGTCACCCAGGCTGGAGTACAGTGTCACCAACATAGTTCACAGCAAGCTTGAACTCCTGGGCTCAGCCTCCCAGGTAGCTGAGACTGCAGGCACTCACTATCATGCCTGGCCAAAACTGAAGACCTAATGGGCCATGTGGTAGATTAAGTCACGGCTGAAGAGAGGCCTAAGGAAGTGGAAGGCAGAACTGCTACCCACTGGGCAGCACGGGCCTTGGTCAGCATGAGGGAGGCTGAGCAGGGAGAAAGAGGACAATTAGAAGGCCTACCAGGCAGCTGAAGATTCCAGAAGGGCCAGAGGAGGAAATGGCTTAAACTTTTCCAAAATTGCTAACTCTGGGGCCCTGGCAGTCAGGGAGCAGGACGGCAAAGGGGCAGTGAGAGCCCGAGAAGTTCTGGAGAGCAGAGCTGTGTATTGGACAGAGGCTCACTCCTTGAGGGAGAAATGCATCTTATCGTTGATCATCTTGCGCTCGGGGTTGAGGCGCTTGAGGATCTGGGCCAGCACATTCACCGTCTGGTCACTGCTCAGCCCCGTCTTCTTGGTCTGGAATTTTTTCAGCAGGTCCTTAGTGGTCATGGGCTTCCGCGTCAGGTAGCGGCGCACGGCGTCCTCAGTCACCTGCACGTCTCTGTGGATGGGAGGGTGGGGAAGGCGGCATCAGCGAGACTGTCCCGGCAGCCCTGGCTCTGCCCACTGCTCTCCTCGCCAACTTACCCGCTGCTGGGTGTCGACTTGCCGGATGGTGGCTGGGGAGTCGACTTTCCGGACAGGCTCTGGGGCCCCGCGTCCAGACGTAACCGCTTGGCTGCAGGCGCCTCGCTCACCCGCTTCCCTGTGGGAGTGGGGTCAGGGCTGAGTTGTGGGGGCAGGAGGCCGAACCCCTGGGCAGGACCCTAGGCTGGGCAGTGCCAGGATTAGGGTTTAAGGGAAAAAGGGTGGGACAGTCCTCCACTCCCATCTGCATCCCCTCTCTGTCCTGAGCCCCAAAGGCAGAGGTCGGGAGGCTGTGGCTGTGGGGACTGCAGAGCAGGTGCTCACCTTGCTCGAGTTTGCTGGCGGCGGCACGCAGGGTGGAGGAGGTGCTGCCGCCCTCTGTGCTGGGCGTGCCCGGGCGGCTGTTGCCCCTTGAGCTCCCTCCCGACAGCTTGCGCTCTCTCTTGGGCGGTGTCTTCTTCTTCTGCAGAGGTCAGGGTGGGGTGAGGGTGAGGGGGCTGAGTCTAGAAACGGACAACCAGGCCTCCCTCGATGCCAGGCTGGGCCTTACCGCCATGAAGAGGGCCGAGGAGGCCTCACTGTCAATGTCACTCTCCTCTGAGCTGTCTGATTCATCGCTGCTGTCTGCGGGGCACAGGACAGGGGTCAGGGCCCAGCGCCCACCCGTACCTCCACTGCAGATGAGGGAGGTCTGCAGAGAGGGGAGGAGGCAGCAGGGTGCCAGGGCCCAACCCAAGCCTCCAATGCAGGGGCCACAGAGGGCACACCTTTCCTGCGCTTCTTCTCCTGCGGGGTGGGCGCCTTCTTCTCCTCCTCCTCCTCCTTGT